GTGCGACCAAATTCGGAGGGCGGAACGGATTAACTGTATTTACATTGAACCTTATGGGGAAATTTGCCCCGGGTTGCGACCAATTCGAGATGCGATCAGAGTCACGGAAGGATTAAGTTCGTAACACGAGGTACCACTGTACAGTATTTTGTTTGATGTATGTGTGGTAATGCAGAAGTATGTGCTGGAGGCATGTCCCCAACATTGTGAAGTCATTGGCTCCCTTTAACTGATCAGCATGTTAGTGTCATCTAATTAGCATGTGGGTGAGCCTTCTATCATTTTTTTGCTGTTCTTTTATTTTTTCCTTATGTGTTTTTCCTATCCCCTCTCTGGCCAAGGAAATTCCTTGGCTGTGCTGCAATGTAATGGTAGTGTATCTCATGCCTGGCATAATTATAGGATTGCTAGGCCCATCATGTATTTTAAGAGTTCTGAATCTTTATGGATGCATTTTGTTAATTCTCTTAATTCTCTAATTAATATACTAGTGTGAGGGAATTGTCCAGAAGATACTATATTAGTTAGTGATTGCATATATCATTTATAATTAAAAATTCACCTAAAAGTCCATCTAAATCCCATCATTGAGAGAGGGAATTAGCTGATTCCAGGACAATTGAAAACTATTTATATCTCTAGCACAAACAGTGATCAGCCATCATAGAGAGTGCATGTATTAGATGGGTGATTATGTCCTATAAACAGTGATTCTAAGCAACAAACATGGTTTGGGGTCACATACATCTTGGGGTCATAAGGCACCTTGTATGATCATCTATAAAATCCTAGCCCAATGTTTGGAACTTTGGGACTCACTTTTGGCCCAGAAGCAGCTTCCATCACAGTGTAATACGTTCATTACTTCCTCTGCATTGGTAGATAATTAAATCTTCTTTTCTTCTCATAACTGTGTGACTATATTTTGGAATCTTCTGAGGGGTGGTGGGGAGAGGATTTTATATGCAGCACAGAGCATTTTATGTTTTTTACTCTCTGCCAAGTATGCAGCAGAGAGGAAGAGAGTCTTTAGGGCTCATTTTATACAAATATCTTTTGCTCATTGAGTGCTATGCTGCCTGAAGAGTTTCCTTCTTCCCTTCCCTTCTGTAATACTTTTATTGGGGGGTGGGGAAAAGAAGGGAGCACGGGGAGCTCAGTGGTATTCTCAGGTGGCCAGAATCTGGAATATAATCACCTGCAGCTGAGCAGGCCTGTCAGCTGGCTGCCCAGCTGGCAGGTGCTTCAACCTCTAGTTCAGATGGAAAAAAGAGGGTTCAAGGGGCAGAAAGCAGAGGGGGAGATTTTTTTTTTTTTTCCTGTGCTCTATGCTCTATGTGACCAAGTCATCAATGGCAACTTTGAGCTGTAGCAGGTAAAGGGTGAGCTGCAAGCAACATTTATTGTGCATGCCATGGCTGGAAAGGTAGTTGAAACCTCTGTTAGAAGAATGGAGGAATGAAAAGAAAATTGGAATGCTTTGACTGTAAGGATAGCAAAATA